CATGTCCAGCGCAAGGCGGGGGAGGTCTCAGGCAAGGAGACCCGGGGCTGAAGGTTGAGCTGATGCCCGGCATACTGAACCGCAAACGGCCACAGAAAATGGGGGGCAGCCGCATGCATCATGGACGTACGAGCGACGTCCATGACCATGCCCATGCGGCGCTCAGCAATCCCATTTTGCTGTGGAGAGGCCGGAAGCGTGAAGGTCTGGCGGATGCCCTTTGCTCGACAAAAGGCTCCCAGACGGGCAGAGGAAAACTCCCCGCCTCGGTCAGAGTGCAGACGCAGAACAGGAAAGTCCGAGCCGAAACTCTCTTTGAGCTTAGGACGAGCCGCGCGGATCCACTCGATCAACACCTTAGTGACGTCACCCTAGCTGCGCAAGGGGGAGACTGTGGTGTAACGCGAGTAGTCATCAACCACCAACAGGAAGGAACTCTGGTGACCCTGTCCACGGATGCGGGCGGGGCCCCACACGTCCATGTGGAGCGTCTGCAGTGGAGCCTCTGTCGGAGGAAACTCGGAGGAGTGAGGAGCAGCGCGCTGTCGCCCCTCGACGCAGGGGACGTAGGTAGGGCCAGGCCCCGGAGGTAGGGGAGGGAGAGACCGGGGGAGACCAGAGACATGGACACGGGAGGCCATGCCTCGGAGACGAGGCAGGGAGGGGTGACCAAGGCGGTGGTGCCAAAGGAGAGTATGGTGGGACACGAGACGACACGAGCAGGGAGCAGACTCAGGACCAGACCTGGACGCTGCAGCAAACACCTGAGTCGACGCAGCTACCTGGCCAGACTCAGCAGCCGGAGGAGACTCAGTAGAACGGGTGTACAGGCTCGACCCTGGCCGACGGATGAACGTGTCCAAGTGTCAATCTATCCGAGCATACGTGGAGTGGGTCACCCGCTGACTCGCACCAGTGAACTGGTCAACCCCCCTATCGTATAGGTCCGCTCCACTCACCAAGTTCGTAGAGAACGAGGGGAGGTAGAGACCTGACAGGGTGCCAGTGGGGGCTGCCGGGCACGGTAAGACAGTGGAGAAGCTAGCAAGGACAGGACCCCCAGAGGGGTCGCCAGGGAGACTGCAACCGGCAGAGTGAGCGGCGAAAGAGTGGTGCGGTCTCGAAGGAAGGAGCGGGACGCACCCGAGTCCAGGGTGAAGGTGTGGAAGGCCTGAGCCGACGTAGTACCCGAGAGAGCAGACTCACCAGCACCTTGGGCGGCAGACGCACTGGCACCTGGGGCAGCAGACGCACTAGTACCTAGAGCAGCAGCCTCACCAGCACCTAGAGCAGCAGCCTCAATGCCCGGGTTAGGCGGTACACACAGTTTACAGTCACTGGCAAGACTAGAATCAACAGCATACATGGCCGCAAGGATAGCATCAAATTCAAGATCAAAGATAGCAACCCCGGCCTTAGCCAGATCTCCCCAGTGAGGGATCTCTAACGCCTCAGGGAACTGGCGACGCCACGCGTCCGTCACAGGACCAAAGCAGCGCTGGGTGGAGTGCGGGCCCCCGCGTTGCTCATTAGCACGATCGCCGGTACGCAGGACGTAGGTACAGTGACTAGTACCCCCACCTCGCTGACGCCCAGCGTACCAGTCACGAAGCTGCTGGGGGGACAGGTTCTCACAAGTACGCTGGTGCTGCTCGCACTGACCACCACCGGCGCCACTCCTTTGCGCAGACTCGCGACTCGCTCCACCACCGCCGCCTCCGCCGCCGTCGCCGCCTATGCCGCCTCCGCCCCCTCCTCTGCCTCCTACAGGGTGCTAGTGGGGGCTGCGGGGCACGGTAAGACAGTGGAGAAGCTAGCAAGGATAGGACCCCTAGAGGGGTTCGCCAGGGAGACTCCAACCGGCCGACTAAGCAGCGTAAGCATGGTGCGGTCTCGAAAGAAAGAGCAGGACGCACCCAAGTCAAGGGTGAAGGTGTGTAAGGCCTGAGCGGGCGTAGTACCTGAGAGAGCAGACTCACCAGCACCTGGGGCAGCGGACGCACTAGCACCTGGGGCAGCAGACGCACTAGCACCTAGAGCAGCAGTCTCACCAGCACCTAGAGCAGTAGCCTCAATGCCTGGGTCCGGCGGTACACAAAGGTAACAATCACTCTCAACACTAGTAGTCACAGCCTACATGGCAGCAAGGATAGCATCATATTCAAGATCAAAGATGGCAACCCCCGCCATAGACAGATCTCCCTAGCGAGGGATCTCTGACGCCTCAGGGAACTGGTGACGCCACGCTTCCATCTGGCGGCCGAAGCAGCGCTGGGTGGAGTGCGGGCCCCCGCACTGCTCACCAGTGGGGTCGCCAGTACGGAGGACGTAAGTGCAGGGACCAGTACCCCCACCGCGCTGACGCTCAGTGTACCACTGACGAAGCTGCTGAGGGGATAGGGTCTCATGACCGCGCTGCTGCTACTCGCGCTTACCACCACCGGACCCACTCCTCTGCGCAGATTCGCGACCCGCTCCACCGCCGCCGCCGTTGCCGCCTCCGCCGCCTCCGCCACCTCTGCCTCCTCCGCCACCTCTGCCGCCTTCGCTCCCTCCGCCACCACCGCCGCCTCCTCCGCCTCCACTGCTGCCATCGCTGCCTCCGCCCCCGCCACCACTCCCACCACCACCCCCAGTCCCTCCACTGCCTACACCACCACCTCCACCGCCCCCGCTAGCCCCTCTAGTTCCCTTGCCCCTTTTGCCCTTGCCGGTGCGGCGTCTCCCGCTAGGGGCTGACGCAGCACTGACCCCGTAGAAACCAACGAGGGCGGCAGCAGCAGCAGAAGCAATAGAGGGCAAGAGGGGGGAGGGGGAACACCCCTCAAAGACGGGGGTGGGAGGGTCACCACCAGAGGCTCCTACAGCTACTATACTGTCCTCTACTGCTAGGAGGCGCTGCTCGAGGAGGTCAACGGTGAGAGTGGTGGGGCAAACTGAGAGGAAGTGATCCCTAACTAAGCGAAGAGAGTCAGGGAGCTGGGTGACTATGTAGTAGAGGGTGATGTACATGGGGGGGGGGGGGGGGGGGGGGGGGGGGTCTTGGCGCAGAACTCAGCAAGAAGCGCAGCGCGGTAGCGAGTGTCACTAGTGCGGAGGTGCGTTATGAGGTCATCGACTGTGGGAAAGGCAGCAAGGTCAGCGAAGAGGTACGGTAGCATAAGGCGGCTCAGTATAGTAGTGGCAGGGGAAGAGTAGCGTGCAACTACAGCATCGTACAAGGTCTGAGTACTCTTGTACTGGCTAAAGTGTGCACGCTCAGTGGTCGGTAAGTGGCGACGCACAGCAAGACGGGCAGCAGCATTGCGTGTCGCCCACTGTGAGTGAACACTGTTGTCAGCAGTAGCAGGCGGGGCAGGGGAGGCACCAGAGGTGAGGTCGAATAGAGAGAGGCTGTTTGCCCTATCGCACTGGAGGAAAAGGTGGAGGTCATCGATCCAGTCCTCAAAGTCAACAGCACGACCCTTAGTGTAAAAGGTAAGAACATTGGGGGTAGCCATGACTGCAGAGGTCTAGCAAAGAGTGAGCTAACAAGTACGGGTAAGGAGGGCCGGTGCGCGCCGGTAGGACTGGTAGCAGCTCGACGACAGGGCGGCTCGGCGGCTCAAGTGCTGAGCGGCTCGGCTGTCGGGCGGCTCGGCGGTCAGCTGCTGGGCGGCTCAGTGGCTCGGCTGTTGGAGGGCTCGGCTGCTGGGTGGCTCGGCTGTTGGGCGGCTTGGGGACTCTGCTGTTGGGCGGCTCGGCTGTCGAGCGGCTTGGCGGCCCTGCTGCTGGGCGGCTCGGCTGCTCTGCTGCTGGGCGGCTCGGCGGCTCTGCTGCTAGGCAGCTCGGTAGGGGCGGCTTGGGGCCATTTAGGGACGGCGATAGAGCCGTGTAGGGGCAGCCACGGGGCCGCTTCGGGTCAGCGACGGGGCTGCTTAGGTGTGGTGACGGGGCCGCTTAGGGTGAGAGGCGGCGACGGGGCCAGCAGGGGTGGCGACGGGGCCGCTAGGTGCGGCAACGGGGCCGTGTATGGGAGGCGACGGGGCCGCGTAGGGTGAGGGGCGAAGATGGGGCCACTGGACTTGGCGACGGGGCCGCTAAGGGCGGCGATGGGGCCGCGGAGGGGCGGCGACGGGGCCGCGTAAGGGCGGCGACGGGGCCGCGCAGGGTGAGAGGCGGCGATGGGGCCGCTAGGGGCAGCGACGGGGCCGCTAAGGGCAGCGCCGGGGACGCGGAGGGACGGCGACGAGGCCGCTAGGGGCGGCGACGGGGCCCCGTACGGTGAGAGGCGGCGACTGGGCCACTAGGGGCGGCGACGGGGCCGCTAAGCGCGGCGTCGGGGCCGCGGAGGGGCGGCGACGTGGCCGCTAGGGGCGGCGACCTAGCCGTCAAGGGTGGCGACGAGGCCGCTCAGGGGCGGAAACGGGGCCGCGCGAGGGGCGACGACGAGGCCGCTAGGGGCCACTAGGGGCCGGGAAAGGGCAGCAAAAAACGCCCCTCTGGCAGGAGCGATTGGCGCTCCGGTCAGAAGGGAAGTTTTCAGTGGTGGGCCCAAGGTAGCGTTCCCACTAGGGAACCTGCTCTATACCATGTGAAGAATGAGGAATGAATGAACTAGCAAGCAGGTGGGTGCAAGTAGGAAAACCATCGCCACCTTCCAGCGGCCGCGTCGCCGTGAGGAAGTGTTGTACCCCATATTGTCTACCCCACTATAGCCTACACAGACTATAGTGTAACAGTTTGACAATTTGGTTCCTTATATCCTTATCAAGTCTATCTATCTTCTCCTTCAAATCTTTCTTCATTCTTAATTACTCCATAATTCCAAGATTTCCTTTCAACTTGTTTTTGCGTTTCAACTTGGTTTACTTTGATCTTACCTTTTCTTTCTATGGTTTTTCTTTCTTTCTCCTTACCATTTACCCGCTTAGGGGCAGCGACGGGGCTGCTTAGGTCTACCCCCAGTATTCTCGCTTTTGACGCTGAGGGTCGGGCCATTGACTTTGAGGTATGGGTAGATGACCTACAGCTTTTCCTACAGTGCGATAGGGCAGACGGTCTCTCCCTCTTTGACCTCACCTCTAGCGCCTCTCCTGCCCCTGCTGCTGACGCTGACGCCACTGTTCGCTCCTAGTGGGCCATGCGTGATGCTGCTGCACGTCTTGCTGTGCGTCGCCACCAGCCTACCACTGAGCGCGCGCACTTTAGTCAGTACAAGAGTGCTCAAACCTTGTACGACGCTGTAGTTGCGCGCTACTCTTCCCCTGCCACTACTGCACCGAGCCGCCTAATGCTACTGTACCTCTTCCCTGACCTTGCTGCCTTTCCCACAGTCCCTGACCTCATTACGCACCTCCGCACTAGTGACACTCACTACCGCGCTGCGCTTCCTGCTGAGTTCTGCGCCAAGAACCCCCCCCCCCCCCCCCCCCCATGTACATCACTCTCTATTACATAGTCACCCGGCTCCCTGACTCTCTTCGTGTAGTCAGGGACCACTTCCTCTCAATCTGTCCCACCACTCTCACTGTTGACCTCCTAGAGACGGCCCTCCTAGCAGCGGAGAAGAGCATCGTCGCTGTAGGAGACTCTCGTGGTGACCCGCGCACCCCCATCTTTGAGGGGTGTTCCCCTTACCCCCTTTTGCCCTCTGTCGCCTCTGCTGCTGCGGCCGACCTCGTTGGTCTTGAGTCGGTCGGTGCGGCGTCTGCCCCTAGCGGGAGACGCCGCTCTGGCAAGGGCAAGGGGGGCAGGGGCGCTGGCGGAGCTAGTGGGGGTGGTGGAGGTGGCGGTGGAGGCGGCGGAGGGAGTGGGGGTGGCGGTGGGAATGGTGGCGGGGGTGGAGGTGTCGGTGGCGGCAGTGGAGGCGGAGGCGGCGGAGGCGGTGGCGGTGGGAGCGGAGGCGGCGGTGGTGGCGGAGGTGGAGGAGGCGGTGGTGGAGGAGGTGTAGCTGGTCGGGGTGGTGCTACGCAGCAGAGCGGCTCCGGGGGTGGTCAGCGCCAGCAGCAGCAGCAGCGTTCTCGGGACATCTCCCCCCCTCACCAGCTCCGTGAGTGGTACAGGCAGCGTCAGCGTGGTGGGGGTTTTCACCCGTGCACCTACGTCCTTCGCTCTGGCGACCGCGCGGGTGAGAAGTGTGGGGGTGCCCACTCCACCCAGCGATGCTTTGGCCGCCTCACGGACGCTTGGCGTCACCAGTTCCAGGAGGCTGCTCAGATCCCCTACTGGGGAGAGCTGTCTAGGGCAGGTGTCGCTATCTATGATCTTGACTTTGATGCTATCCTTGCTGCCATGTATGCTGTGACTATTTGTGATGTGGGTGACTGTTACTGGTGTTTCCCGCCCGACCCGGGCATTGGTACTGCCCCCTCGGGTGCTAGTGAGGCTGCTGCTCTAGGTGCCAGTGCGTATGCGCCCTTAGGTACTGGTGAGTCTGCGCTCTCAGGTACCACGTCGGCTTCGGCCTCCCTCACCTTCACACTTGACTCAAGGGCTTCGCGCTCCTTCTTTCGAGACCGCACCACACTCACGCCGCTTGGTCGGCCGGTTGCAGTTTCCCTGGCAAACCCCTCTGGGGGTCCTGTCCTTTCTCACTTCTCCACTAGCCTCCCATGTCCGTCTGCCCCCTCAGGCACCTTGTCTGGTCTTTACTTCCCCTCATTCTCTACGAACTTGGTGAGTGGTGCTGACCTACAGGATGCGGGGGTTCACCAGTTTACTCCTGCGAGTCAGCAGGTGACCCACTGCTCGGAGGCTCGCATAGGCCGACACCTGGCCACGTTAACGCGTCGGCCGGGATCGAGCCTCTACAACCTGACCACTGGGTCTCCTCCTGTCCTTGCGTCTGGCCAGGTAGCTGCGTCGGGTCAGGTGGTTGCTGCGGCGTCTAGGTCATGTCCTGAGTCTGCCCCCTGCTCGTGTCGCCTCCTGTCTCACGAGACTCTCCTGTGGCACCACCGTCTTGGTCACCCCTCCCTACCTCGTCTCCAAGGCATGGATTCCCGTGTCCTTGTCTCTGGTCTTCCCCGGTCCCTCCCTCCCCTTCCTTCTGGACCTGGTCCTTCCTGCGTCCCCTGTGTCGAGGGGCGCCTATGGGCTGCCCCTCACTCCTCTTAGTTTCCCCTGACAGAGGCCCCGCTGCAGACGTGTGGGGCCCAGCCCGCGTCCGTAGACAGGGTCACGAGCCCTACTTTCGGTTGGTGCTTGACGACTACTCGCGTTACACCATAGTCTTCCTCTTGCCGACCCTGAGTCGGACTCTCTTCGTGCTGCGAGTCCTACTCTCACGCGTCTTCTTGCTACTGTCGTCACTGCCCCCTCTTTTGAGTCCACTGCTGCGTTTGCTCTTGTTGCTGAGCTCGTCGACTTTGCTGCTCGCTATCGTCTAGACTACGCTGCTAGTCTTATTGCTGAGTCTGTCTCTGTCTGTCCTCCTTCCGTCGGGGGTGAGTGTGCTCTTTGCACGGACGTCCTTGAGGACAGGCAAGAGGAGTTCCAGTGTCTGGGTGCTGCTTCACCTCATCTCGTGTCCGTACTGCTTACCCCTGAGGGAGACCCGGATGCACTTGACATCCCGACTCCGCGCTCTTACGCGGAGGCCGTAGAGGGTCCCTACTCCTCTCAGTTGCAGGCAGCTATGGATGCAGAGATGGCTTCCTAGAAGTCCACAGGCACCTACGTTGACGCGGTTCCCCCACCTCGGGCGAACATCGTCAGTGGCATGTGGATCTTCAGGGTGAAGCGGCCGCCAGGTTCTCCACCTGTCTTCAAGGCGCGGTACATGGTTCGTGGCTTCAGTCAGCGGCAGGGAGTTGACTACTTTCAGACCTTCTCTCCCACCCCGAAGATGACCACTCTTCGGGTGTTGCTGCACATAGCCGCTCAGCGCGACTACGAGCTTCACTCTCTTGACATCAAAACTGCCTTCTTGCAGAGTAGCCTACACGAGGAGATCTGGCTGCGCCGCCCACCTGGCTTCACTGGGTCTTTTCCTCCTGGCACCCAGTGGGGCCTCCGGTGGCCAGTTTACGGTCTCCGCTAGGCACCGCATGAGTGGCACGACACACTGAGGACTACGCTTGCGGCTCTTGGGTTTGCTCCCTCTACTGCCGACCCGTCGCTGTTTCTGTGCACCGACACCTCTTTGCCGCCGTTCTACATCCTCGTGTACGTCGACGACTTGGTCTTTGCCACTGCTGACACTGCTCGACTCGCCCACGTGAAGTCCGAATTGTAGAAGAGACACACGTGCACAGACCTGGGTGAACTGCGTAGCTACATTGGCTTGCAGATCGCCCGGGACAGAGCATGCCGCACCATTACCCTGACTCAGTCACACACGGTGCAGCAGGTCTTTCAGCGCTTTGGCTTCACGTACTCCTCGCCTCAGGCCACTCCTCTGTCTACTTGCCACTCGCTCTCAGCCTTGCCTTCGGATAAGTCCGTAGAGTCGACTGGCCCGTACCCAGAGCTTGTTGGCTGCCTCATGTACCTGATGACCTGCACATCACCTGACCTTGCATACCCTCTTAGCATTCTTGCACGCTATGTTGCTCCTGGGAGACACACGCGAGAGCACATGGCTGCAGCGAAGAGGGTGTTGCGCTACTTGTGCAGTACGTCGGGCATGGGGCTAGTGCTTGGAGGGCGGAGTCCAGTGGTCCTCACTGGGCACGCAGACGCTTCTTGGGCTGACAACCAGGCTACGCAGCGGTCGTCACAGGGTTACACCTTCAGCCTTGGTTCCGGCTCTGTTTCGTGGCGGGCTACTCGCTCGTCTTCTGTTCTCGGCTCCAGTTGTGAGGCTGAAATCTACGCCGGGGCCATGGCTGCACAGGAGCTTCGCTGGCTCACCTACCTGCTGACCGACCTTGGAGAGCCGCCTCGTTCTCCTCTAGTCCTGTACGTAGACAACAAGGCCATGCTGGCCTTGTGTCGAGAGCAGAGACTGGAGCACAGAACAAAGCACATTGCTCTTCGCTACTTCCTCGCTCATGAGCTACAGCAGCAAGGTCAGTTGCGGCTTGCGTACGTGGCCTCTGAGGCCAACACTGCTGATGTTTTCACCAAGGCACTTCCGCCTTGTTATCATCAGCGCTTCTACAGTCAGCTGGGTCTTGTCCCTGTCTTGCCTCATTTGCTCACCCCTTGACCTTGCTTGTACTCTCATATATATATATATATATACCTGCTCTTGCTTGTTTAGTCTTATATATATATGAGTACTCCTGCATGTGAACTAGCCTTGTGGCCTTGACCTTGTGCTCGGACTGTGTGGTGACGTTGTGATCCACCCTGAGCTTTGCTTTCCTTTGCTTGACTGGTCTTGTGACCCCTTGTTCTCCCCCACTTTGCCTATGGGGGTGTGTCAAATTATCATGTTGTGTAGGCTATAGTGGGGTAGCCTATATGGGGTACACATTTCTAGGGTTGCATATTTGTATCACTCTCATTCCTTAGTCATTCATTCTCGTTCTAATTTCCTCACACGCTGCTGCAGCTCACGAGCAAGGAAGTAGCGAAGAGCAATGTGCTTCGTTCTGTGCTCCAGTTTGTGCTCCCGATACAAGGCCAGCATGGCCTTGTTGTCTACGTACAGCACTAGAGGAGAACGAGGCGGTTCTCCTAGGTCACTCAGCAGGTAGGTGAGCCAGCGTAGCTCCTGTGCAGCCATGGCCCCCGCATAGATCTCAGCCTCACAGCTGGAGCCGAGAACAGAAGACGAGCGGTTAGACCGCCACGAAACACAGCCGGAACCAAGGCTGAAGGTGTAACCCTGTGACGACCGCTGCGTAGCCTTGTCTTCAGCTTAAGAAGCGTCTGCGTGACCTATGAGGACCACTCGACATCGCCCTCCAAGCACTAGCCCCATGCCCGACGTACTGCACACGTAGCACAACACCCTCTTTACTGCAGTCATGTGCTCCGGTCGGTGTCTCCCGGGAGCAACATAGCGTGCCAAGATGCTAAGAGGGTATGCAAGGTCAGGTCGTGTGCAGGTCATCAGGTATATGAGGCAGCCAACAAGCTCTGGGTACAGGCCACTCGGCTCTACGGACTCATCCGAAGGCAGAGCTGAGAGCGAGTGGCGAGTAGACAGAGGAGTGGCCTGAGGCGAGGAGTACGTGAAGCCGAAGCGCTGAAGGACCTGCTGCACCATGTGTGACTGAGTCAGGGTAATGGTGCACTGTGCTCTGTCCCGGGTGATCTGCAAGCCAAGGTAGCTGCGTAGTTTACCCAGGTCTGTGCACGTGTGTCTCTTCTGCAGCTTGGACTTCACATGGGCGAGTCGAGCAGTGTCAGCAGTGGCAAAGACCAAGTCGTCGATGTACACGAGGATGTAGAATGGCGGCAAAGAGGTGTCGGTGCGCAGAAACAGCGATGGGCCGGCTGTAGAAGGAGCAAACCCAAGAGCCGCAAGTGTAGTCCTCAGTGTGTCGTGCCACTCACGGGGCGCCTGGCGGAGACTGTAGACTAGCCGCCGGAGGCTCCACTGGGTACCACGAGGAAACGACTCAGTAAAGCCAGGTGGGCGGCGCAGCCAGATCTCCTCGTGTAGGCTGCCATGCAGGAAAGCTGTGCTGAAGTCAAGAGAGTGAAGCTCGTAGTTGCGCTGAGCGGCTATGTGCAGCAGCACCCAAAGAGTGGTCATCTTCAGGGTGGGAGAGAAGGTCCGAAAGTAGTCAACTTCCTGCCGCCGACTGAAGCCTCGAGCCACATAACGCGCCTTGAAGACAGGCAGAGAACCCGGCGGCCGCTTCACCCTGAAAATCCACATGCCACTGACGATGTTCGCCCCAGGTGGGGGAACCTCGTCGATGTAGGTGCATGTGGACTTCCTGGAAGCCATCTTTGCGTCCATGGCTGATTGCCACTGTGAGGAGTAGGGATCCTCGATCGCCTCAACGTACGATCGAGGAGTCGGGATGTCTGGTTCATCCGGGTCTCCCTCAGGGGAAATCAGCGTGGACACGAGATGAGGCAAAGCAGCAGCAAAACACTGGAACTCCTCCTGCCTGTCGTCAAAGACGTTTGTGCTAAGAGCACACTCACCCCGGACGGATGGAGGACAAACAGACTCAGACTCAGCAACAAGACTAGCAGCGTAGTCTAGACGACAGCGAGCAGCAAAGTCGACAAACTTTGCAACTAAGGCAGATGCAGTAGTGGACTCAAAGGAAGGGTCAGTGACAACACTAGCCAGGAGACGCGTGATAGTAAGACTGGCAGCACGACTACTAGTGCGAGCAACACGAACAGGCGACGCAGGACGAGATGCAGGCTCACGACGCTCAGCAAGACCTCCAGTAGGACCAGTGTAGGGAGAAGGAGCACGTAGGGGGGAGGCGGGCTGTAACTGTGACCGCGACTGGACAGGCTGTGGACACTCTAAGGGAGGAGCAGGACCAGTAGAGGGCGGGAGACCAAGAACCTGCTCAAGGAGCGGAACGAAGTACGGACGCGGCCGCGCAGCGCCTCCAGAACCAGCAGGGACAGCACCAGTACCCTTGTGAGAGTACGACGGCTTATGCCTGCTATGCTTGCTTGCCTCTACCTTATTATGCTATTTCTAGCATAGGATAATCATATGCATGCATGTATTGCTTGATTTCCTAGGCTAGGTGCTTTCCTATATTTTATTATAGTTATAGCACCGAGCTAGGTTGCGTGCACCGAATTCTGGCCTTTTCGGTTGCCACCGAATTGCCTTCTACCGAATTCGGTAAGGGTCTGTTCGGGACGCTACGCGACCCGCGGAACCTTCGCGTAACACCTGGTTACGGGGCTTTGTGTCGAGCCTATATATAGCCTCGTGTTGTACCCAAGTGATCATTCGATTCAATTCGATTCAATTCAACTACATTCTCTTTTCCGAGCTCGATCCTAGATCCTCACACTTGGTATCAGAGCCTGTTTAGAAGCGACCAGTAAGATGACCAGCGCCTGAAATTCATTTATTTTTGTCGCAAATCTTCCTATAAATCGCCAAATGGAGGAAAACGGTGATAATTCCGTACACAAAATTTCAGAGTTACACACCGACCTGGACCAGACGTGAGCGGCACTCCAGCGAATAGAGGAGCTTCTTGCGAACCAGTCGGCAGCCGCCATAACAG